TCGAGGCACCGAAATTATTTGGATTTTTTTTGGCCCGAATTTTTGAGATGACTTAACACATATTTTTGCCTGTTTACGGTGTGAACATTTGTCTGCAGTGATGGACTAGTTAAAGAAGTAAAGTATGCCAGAGCAAGATAACTTATAAAGGACATAAAGTGGGGCAGGAAGTAGAGCAAGAAAGTAGCACTCACAGAGCAAAGCCAAACTAAAGTGAGTCTGTCAGTTTTCCCCCTGGAGTCAGCTTCAGTTACACTGTAACAATGACCAGGAAGATATTTGACTACGATTATTACGGGCTCTTACAACAGAAAGGGTCTGGGAACACTGAGTGAACTCTGACCTGTGGTTCACATCCCACTGAAGCAAAGTGAGTGTTGTTGTTTTGAGGAAATTAGTTTTGCTGACATGAAAGTTTTGTAATTACAAGGTAGTCATCTAGTTGGAATAAATATCATCCTGTATACCTACAGCCCGATGATCTTAAAGTTGAGGGGGGGGTTTGTGTGTGTGTGTGTGTGTGTGTGTGTGTGTGTGTGTGTGTGTGTGTGTGTGTGTGTGTGTGTGTGTGTGTGTGTGTGAGTGAAAATATGTGAGGTTGTTGAGTAGCTGTCACTGCTTCTCTAAATAGAGAAGCTGATAAAATATCTGTGGGGAGATATGAAATATCGACCAAGTCCTTGGAACTGCCTTCTCAACCATCCCTTAATTTAATCACACTCTGACACAAACAGTTCACCCTCAAGCTTCTCCCACAGTGCTTTCTAAAACACTTTGGAAGGTGACTGTCCTTATGTATCACATCTGGTGCCTGCGTGGTTTTATCAGTGGCTTCACCTAACCATGACCCACCTCTCGCCAACTGGTTACCTTTGAGCACCCTTGCTGAGGCTATACTATACTCCTGTCACTGATAGAAGAGAAGAGAAGGACAGTGGGTAAATCCTTCACGTAGATTGTGTGGGCACTATACTCTCATGCTGCACTGCTTGAATGAGACTGCATTTATAAAGGGCCCTGCTGGGAAATGGGAAAGGATGACAATGAGCAGATATTTGATACAGAAGTATAGCACTTTGCGTAGAAGAGCGCATACTAGAAGAGAGCAGGGGAGAGAGGGAGAAACAGGAATTGGATGTCATGTTTGTTTATCTGACAATAGACTTATTTGCATTGATATCTCATTGGACTAGTCTGTGTTTGCTTTATAGCTTTTTATTTATACTTTATACCTTATTATTATTTTTCTAATGTGAGTGTGACAAGAAAAGAGCAAGATTAAAGAGGGCAAGGTTTTTGTGTTGATTTACAAAGCAGCTCGGGCAGTCAGATCAAAGCAGGATTGTGAGTGATCAACAGCTTGTTTTAGCAAAAAGACAGAAGGACAGAGAAAACCAGACAGACAAAAACGAGATGGGTGCACAGGGTTTATGAGAAAGCAATTAGTTAGAGTGGCAAAACAAACACGTCGGCAGGTTAACAGAAAGACCGGGGAGATGAATGGGAGATGACAGAGACAAGTGGCTGATGAGCAGCAGAGAGGCTGTATGGCCTGCAGTGAGACAGTTAGATCTGGCTCAGAGTGGCTGCCTCAAACAGCAGAAAGTGTGTCACAGGAGAGCTAGGCTAATGCACCAGGCTAATGTTGCTTCACTCAGCCCCTGCTGCATTCAGGCCTCCCGCTTAGCACTTTCTGTTACTGTTAGCACAAGTCATGCCCTGAGAAATCAAAACTGCATGAGCCATAATGAAGAGTTTAGCTCGTACATGGGCAAACCAAGACTACAGTCTAACTCTGCTGTGAGGATTTATGCCAGTCACTAATCGCTGCTCAGTCAGTGGAATACTTTTTTCTTTTCTTTTTTTTCCTCAGACGACCCTGACTGCACCAGAGATTGGCAGGGAACAGAAATCTACATAAAAAACAAAGCTATGCACACTTTCAAGGATCAATACAGAATTGGCAGAGTTACTGACAATGAATAACACCGTAAAATGTTGCTTAGATACAAAGGTACCACTGTGTACATACTGTATCTTCAAGGCCTAACAATCAGGTTGAATGACTTTCCTACCTTGTAAAACACTGGCACAGCCTTTATCTCAAATCATTTTTTTTAAGTTAGATTTTTGCCTTTATTCTGATAGAACAGTGAGAGATAGACAGGAAAGTCAGGCAGAGAGAGAGAGAGAGAATGACAATGCAGCAAAGGGCCACTGGTCGGACTTGAACCCATGGCCGCTGCAGTTAGGACTAAGCATATGCGGTACGAGCTCTACCAGGTTAGCCACCGAGGTGCCCATTAAGTTTACCTACCTAAGACCCTACGCACATCACTTCATGTATGTGTATACAGTATAATTAAAACTGTCATACCTACATTTACAAAGGATTGGCAGTTAAGTTTAATATTTTGTTTGGCCTGTACTAGAACAAGAAACACATTGTAAACTGTACTTCACAAGCCTATATCTTCAATGTAAGTCTACATTGTGGAGTGTGGTAGAACTGGATACCACAGGCGCATTCGATTATGGCTGCAGGCTGCACATTATGCTGCAGGCATCACTTTGTGTCCCAGCAGACAGGTTTTCCATTTGATTTCTAGGAGCCCTTCTCCTATAAAAGAGGGAGTTGTAATGGTAGCGGTTGAGGAGATCTGTAATCTATAATCTAGGTATACAAACCCATTCACCCCTGTACAAATTGTCATAGTGAACTTACTGCAGCATACACAAACACACACACACACACACACAGACCTCACAGCTGACCTCTGGCTAATGAAATATGAACCCAGTGGCAAAGCCCAAAATTATGCTAGTAGTGTATGAGCTCAGACATTTAGCCTACATCAGAGCCTTGAAACCACCGGGGAGCTCCAGCTTCTCTTATCAAGCAAAGGTCATTTGAAGCTCAGTTTAGGTCACTGATCAGTCACTGATCAGTCACTGGCTCTTTGGCACACATCCAGTAACCATCCAGGTATCATCACTTATTCTCACTATGTGGAGGAAGATGAGACGAACAACAGGCAGCTTGGCATAGACCTCTCATTATTTTTCTCTCACTGAAATTATTGTATCAAGGCCTTCACAATGCAGCAATATTATCCCCTCATTATCTTCTTATGTAAATATCAGAAACAATCAAAGATAACACACTGCATGAAAAAACAAGGCACTTCATTTTGAAGAAATATATTTTCTGATGTAATATCACATTATTTAAACTTTCATTAACATAAATTCTTACTTACTGCAAGAATACAAGAATACTATGTGTTGAAACTTGAAAACGTCATGTTTTTTTAATTATTTGTTGAGTGTTTTCAAATTTATCAGAAACAAACATGCGACTGATCTGAGATGCAGATAAGGCTGCATCATGTAACTATTCATAGTAAAAGGATTTCTGGAGAGATTTAACCCAAATAAAATGCAATTTGTATGCCTTGAACGCATGAAATGTTTCTTAAGGTGGTAAATAAAACTAATAAGACATTGGCCAACAAAGCTTTGAATTGACATAAATTTATCTATTTACATGCTTATTATTACAATATATCAATATATATTATCAGTGATGATAAAGAATCACCTGGTTTCACTAGATCAGTTTAGTATAGCCTATCTAATATAGTATGTAATGTAGTGTCTGTTCTTGAATAACAATGCACTTGTCATTTTAATACAAATTTAATGCATTTGGATTTACTTTTCAAATGCTAATCACCAGTGGCTACAATGACATTTCCTGTAGTCCCCCCTCTCCCTTTTCTTTCATTGCTCCATGTGTATTGTGACTCAGTTATCAGCAACACTCAATCACACAAAAAAAAACAAAAAACAGAATAGACTTAAGTCACAGTGGATGTCCTTTGCAGTGTAGCAGGTCCAACTGAACCACAGCATCCCTCCTCAGGAAATAATCAGTTCAATATTTCTGCTCACTGGAAATAGTCTACTATTGTGCGTGCGTCACACTAGGATGCAATGGATGGAGCCTATAATATTTAATGACAGAGTGCAAAGGCAGCCTAAAATTAGGTTCTGTTTTGTGCTGTCTGTGGGACGTTTGCCCTGAAACTGCTCTTATACACCACTGCTGTATGGTTTTTTTCAGCATCTGTTGATGGAGATGTTAGCTTCTCTCACATTAAAATGTGTCTCATATTCAGCTTGTAACTAGATATGATTTTAACCTGATTTCATTTACACCTAGTATTAATGTGTGTCTCCAGTGTCCACAATTCCAAACGGATCGCCTTGTCCAGCTCACGTCACATCCTCCTCTTGGTTGCGTGGAGACCATGTGGATGTGGATTGACAATCGCATTTACGTTTTTGTTCAATGCGGTCACAATGCGTCCCTTACCACCTCCGGAGGTGGTCTGACTGATCACATCACAAGCTTTCCTCAGTGTGTCTCGGATGCATTTACACAAGTGCAATCTAATCCCCCAAAACACATTTTAACAGGTAGTGTAAACAGGGTATTTGTCTGTTTGTGCCACACTCTCTGAATGTCACCTCCGGGTATGAAACATATTTAAAAAGACAAAACAATAGTATAGAGCCTTTATACTGTTAGTGAACAATATCTACAAGTTATATCATGTAGAAAAATATTGCTGCTGATTCATGATGTGATTTCCTGGAGTTTTACTGCCTCTGGAAGCATTTTCCTAATCTAATCTATGGTTTTAATTGAAATGCTTTATCTCTCTAGATGTGCCAGTTTGCCTATCTCAAAAAGCTAATTGATTTTCCAAATAAATGAAACAGTTGTCACGAAAAAAACAGACAATGAAACATATTATCAAAGCACTATAATAATGTCCATATTCGCAAATAAAAAACTAAGTTGGCAAGTAAAAATCCACTGGCAAGGCATTAAATTTAAAGCAATCTAGCCTGAACACATTTTCTGTGTTAGATGTACATTGTGATATGATTGTTATGATGATCGAACCTGATGAGTCGTCTTTGTGTTACAGGATTTCTTCCTCTCCGAGCCTGTTCTTCCCTGACCTCAACAACAAACTCTGCACTCCAACCAATAAGGTACGGCATATTTGGTTTTTCTTCAACCCTCAGGGCAGTGATAATCTGTCTTCATTTAAAGCCTTTGTTAGCATCTTCTGCTCAGTTGTGAACGGGACTCGAGAGCCAGTGCTAATGAGACAGTGGCCTGCTTGATGTTGTTGTTGGATATATTGAAACGTCTTAACTGCCAGGAGAATTATCTCATAGGCTACAGGGAGACAGCGCGCCTTGACCTTGTCTAGATTGAACTACGATGGTTCTTCAGGGCATTTATACTGAACGCTTCTGTCAAATAGAAAACAAGTATGAAGCTGTGGAAGGCAGAACTTGTCCTTTGTACAGGCTAATAAATCTCTGAGGGTTTTTGTTGGCTCCGGCCAAAAACTGATCGGAATAGAAATGTCAGTGTATTTGATGTTAAACAGTTTGAATGTAACATGAGTACAGTAAGTGTACCAGTGTTGTGTAGTTGCATCTATGAAAGGGCATGTTTTGTCATGCAGACGCATGCACAATGTTGCCTGCAGAGCAGCGAGCACTGATGGAACATAGCCGCGGTGCTCAGCATCATGAGTGTCCTCTGTGGGCTTCCCTGAGGTACAACACTGGACTCTTGATTTCACGCTGGATTAATTTCATTCGGAGCACAAATCTCCTCTGCAGTACTATCCATAGGAGCACACTGTCCATCCTGTTGTGGAGCAAACAAACATGTGAAGGAACTCACCCTTTTTTACATACAGTGCAGCCACTGCTTTCACATCTTTCTACTTAAAACAGGCCCGAGAGTTGTTGCACTTCAAAAGTAAATTAAATTGTACGAAGCAACAGTCAAATTAAACATTTGTGTAATTTCTTGTGGAAAGTGCTTGAGGACAACGAGAGAGTTTTGTTGGGAACAGCCATGACTGTGTGAACCTTGTTAAATTTCCAGCGACATTGATAGTACCTTCTTGGTTTTTGTACAAATCCAAGGAGGTACAAATCAATATCCTCTCTGCAGCTGTTGCATTAGTGATTTTTTGCTCCACTGAGCTGCTCTACGTACATAGCCCTACATAACAGTGACCCATTCATCAGGGCATACTGAAAACATCACAAGGTGAAAAGTTTAAAAGCTTAACTTTTTCACAGTCTGGCATTCAAAAAGAAAAAAAAAACACATTTATAACGTTTTTGAGCAAATGCTGACCTCTGCAGATATTGATTGGATCCATATTGGATCAATATTACCTAAAGAAAACTACACTGTTGGGAAGAATCATACATAAAGAAAGCATCAGAGGGCCAGAAACCATAACGAAAAAGAAAAACGCTTCTTCACCGTGTTGAATGGAAATCCATTTACTTTCAGGGTGAATACCTCATGTTTGATGATGTGAGCATTCGTAGAAATTTCAACTAATAGAAACATAAACACAAAAATGACTGATTTCTGCCATAACTGACGCGCGGTTGCATTTTAGAATAATCCTTTTACACATTTTATTCTTAATCAAAAGCATCATCTGTTTTCATTACAGAAAAAAGAAATACACAAACAATACGCATTATCATACTAAAAACCAAGACGTGTCTGTTGTATTTGACTTCATGAAAATACGCCTCTGCTTAGTTTACAAATACATGCGGTAATTTACATGACACAACAATCTTTCATTTACATATTAAAACACCCAGAGTGCCTCTGTGCACCCTTCAGTGCTCTCACACGATTTGATCCAGCAACTCAGTTAATTGATCACTATTGTTAATTAATGCATTTTTACAAATAAATGGCCATAAGAAACACGAACATACCTCATATTCCTAATACATAGTGAACAATGGAGTTTGCACTTATGACATTTGAATTCACTGTTTAATGTTAAGAGCAGTACATATGCATAAAACATTTCATTTGAAATTCAAATGATTGTTGTCATAAAAATATACATGCTAATTATGCGGCCGCTGTCGGCCTCAGATAAAGTGTAGACATTTATCTCCCACTGTTTATGTAAAGCATTTCAGTGTGTGCGACAGGAAGGACTGAGCCGAAGGAGCGTTTGTGATTAGGAGAGAAGCTATAGCACATAAGCACATCCAGTATCAGTGCTTTGAAACCAAGGTGAGTTTAGTGTCAACATGCTCAGTTTATCTCGTCTTTTTTTTTTTTTTCCTCTTCAGAGCAATACCTTTGCACAGCGGGGACTACAGGGAGCATCCACATCTCTGACAATATGGCATTTCTAGTACATTTAGTTAAAGTCTTCACAGCTTGAAATGTATCCATCACTAAATGCCAGAGACATGCTGTCCCCAGAGCTGCGATCCCATTGCCTTCATTCAGCCCATGATCAATTTGCTCTTCTCTCTCCTGAGAGTCACAGTGTTGCATTTTATCTGTGGTGAATTGTTGACGTTATTATGTTTTGTTTTCATATAGCAAGCATATATCTAATTCATCTTCAGCACCAAACAAAAACAATTCATTTGGACTGTTGATCATTCCACAAATAAACTGTATCTTACTTAACTAATATAGTAAAGCTATCTCTGTGATTTTGATCAATAATATTGGTTGTAAAATAATAAATGAGGAACCAATTATCCTGATATTATTCCCAGAGCTCAAGATTTTGTCTTCTAATTGCTTGTTTTGGTCAGTCCAACAGTCCAAAAACCCAAAGCTATTCAATCACTATGTTTACATCCACAAAATATTCAGGTTTTTGTCCTTATTCTGAAAAAGACAATAGTCCTACTAAATTGTTTACATAGCTAATGAAAATGAATATTCCACTTATAATCCCATTTACATGCGGCCATGCATACTTTGATTAACACTGATTAAAAGTTCGTTTTTGTGATATTTGCTCTTATCCAAAAACCTGTTTGTATCTAAATCTTTCAGTAGGTGTGTTTCTCCTTCTGTCCTGAAGTGTGGGCTTTTCTTTTGCGTGCATCTGTCTCTACCCCAGCCTTGCAAACTGTTGTGTAGTTGGTTTGTGTACAATGAACAGAGCTGACTGAAAACGGGCAAGAGGCGGTGTGTTCCAAACTGCCGTAAAACCCCAACTGAAGCGCATATTCTGAATGTGCTGATTAATGTATATATATAAAACCTGATTAATATTGGCATGTCCCACGTTAATTGAAAAATGCGACATTTGGAAAAAGGCCAAATTCATAATATCCAAACATAATATGTTGTTTACATGACCCACATTAAATTCCAAATATTGTCATATTTGGAATGATAGTGGAATATTATTGTGAATGATATATTTTTAAAAAAGCATGTCATGAATGAGAAGGTGGAATGAGTGAGCTGAGTGCATTCTGCATTTTTGCTTGATTAATGACTTCAGTGATTAATCTAAAATTCTTGTTGATAAACCTCCAGTCCACCAACTAATGCAAACACATTCATCATTTCAGCACTATTACATCAGTTACACAAGGGTCTGCTAATGGTATGAAGATAAATGTTGGCTGATCTCTGCTGTACAGGGTCCACAATCTACACACATTTAGCCTTGAATACTTTCAACATGCTGTAACATTTTCTCCTCTTGTTCTAAACTTGAGCTGATGACACTGTGACTTATGATGGAGAAACCATGTTTCTCACTGCTGTTTGCAGCAGGACAGGGCCAAGACTGCAAATCTGCAGGGGATTTACTTCTCTCATGAGAACCCGCTCTCCTGTGTTCATTTGCATAGAGGAGTTGGATTGGCTTTAATGAAGTTACAGTGCAGCTCCTCATGCATGGAGCTTTTATCACACTTGTTTCTGGGATGCTAAATCTACTGTGGCCGAAAGAACAAAAGTGCTGATACTACTGGAAGTAGCAGTGTATTAGAGGTGTATATTAGATGTAAAATGCAGTGCTTCATCGCTGAGCTTTTTCCTGGAACATTGAGTCATTAGATGCTAAAAAGGTTCAGTATGGTTCATTCTCCTGCTTCATTTGCGGGACTTCCACTGAGGACATCATTTCCTTCTTGCACACACTGGTGTATCCACTCAGTAACTCTGCTTTAGGGTTAACACTGGTACAGAGATCACTGACCTTGACTTAATGCAGGAGCTAAAGTACCGAAAAACACACTGACACAGTATTGTTGTGTACACACTGCCTCAGACCAACAGTGTTGTGTTACCATATTAACATACTACGGTATAGAGGCTTATGCCTGTCATTCTGCTGACATGCCATCATCTCCTCTGTGTGTGTGTGTGTGTGTGTGTGTGTGTGTGTGTGTGTGTGTGTGTGTGTGTGCGCGCGCGCACTGTGTCCAGTTTGTGTAGGCATTGCATTAACATGGTTTAATCCTCTGCATGGCTTATTGGATACAAATCCTTCCCAAAGCTTTTAAAGCTCCTGCCTTTTCATTTCTCTCTCTTCCTCTCTCTCCCTCTCTCTCTCTCTCTCTCTCTACCTCTATTTATGTCTATCCTTCCATCAGACTGAGAAGGAAACTGCAGCGCTCTTGGCGTCACAACATCTTCACCTTCATTCTTAAACCCCATCTGGTGCTTGTTTTATTGGGTAATTTTACCTGTTGGCCAAACATTGATATTTTACTTGCACTCAGTTTGAGACACGGGGGTACAAACAACAAAAATATTTTACCAGCATTTCACAGAATTACAATTACCTCTAGTAACAATTGTTTGACTGCCCGACTGCATTTTATAGCAAGACTAAACAACACCAATGAAAGAACATCAGTTTTGATTAAGCTAATTAACACTATTTAATTGCATTTGATTTCTGGTAATGTTTTTCATATGGTAAACAACTGCTAATACTAATGTCACCTCAGTGTAATGGATTCCCCAACTAAACTAAAAAAGTAACATATGAGGGACCATACTGACTGCAATGAAACACAAAAGTTTGCTTACTCACTGTCAATATAAAGGCAGTTAGACTTGAGTTTGCTGCTTCAGTATTAATGAGTAATCAGTACTCATTGTTGGTAATAATAAAAGCTTACAATGAAATGAAATGACAGCTTTATAAACA